TGTATGAATAGGGCTAGCTGACTTTTCCCAAAGAGTCATGTTTGCTTTTCAAATCTATTCATTGAAGGCACAGAACAAGATGAGAATTTAATTGGGGACATTGAATTTTACAATTATTGAGTCGAACAGGACCTCAGAAGTCATCTAGTCTAACCTACTCCCAGAAAGGAATTACCCTCTATAACACCTCTGACAAATAGGCATCTAGTCTTCGTTTAAAGACCTTTAGTAACAGGCAGCTTCTCATCTCTTAAATTGGTACATTTCGTTTTAGAGCAGCTTTAATTGTTAGGAAGTTTTCCCTTATTTTAAGAAGTCTACCTCTAATTTCTACCCATTGATCATAGTCCTGCCTTCTGGAGCCAACCAGAACAAGTCTGATACCTCTTCCTCATAATAAATACCACCAGATGTTTGGAGAATACTTTTCTGGTCCTTCCTCCCTTATGTACTCAAAGCTTTTCTTCTCCAAGCTAGATATCTCCTCTCTTTTAAAAGAACTTATTTTTTAAAAATAGGTTTTTATTAGTATCTTTTGTTTTAACTTTGCCTAAAATTTCCCTGTGGGGACAGCTATATGGCACAGTGGATTGAGCACCCGGCTTGGAGTCAGAAGAACCTGAGTTTGAATCTGGCCTCAGACACTTACACTCAGACACTTGTATGCTTCTGGGACAGTCACTTAACCCTGTTTGTCTCAGTTTCCTCATAGTAAAATGAGCTGGAGAAGGAAATGGCAACCGCTACTGTGTCTTTGAAGAAAACCCCAGAGAGGGTCACAAAGAGACCCAACTGAGGTGACTAAACAACGATAATAACAAAGTGATTTCCCCTGGTGTCCCTTCTTCTCTCCCCCTTCCCAGATGCTCTCCCTTATAACAAAGAATTTCATCACAGCTTCTTATGGCCTTGTTTGAGTTTCCTCATTTTTCTGATTGTGTGACATAAACTATGGGTACTCGTAATGCACAGAGGCTCTCCATTTGTCATTCCTTGCTTTTGACACGTGACTTCCTTTTTTTCTCATACTTGATGTTATCCCGTGTACCTGCCTTTGGCACATATTGACTCTTGGACTGTAGGCGGGTGTCTTATTTCTGGTGTTGATGGCATCTCTAAGTCTATTAGATTTTTTTTTTATATTTAGAAAAAATTTTTTTCTAATTTTATTTTTATTTTCAGTTCTAAATTCTCTTCTCACCTTCTCCTCTCCTCCCTCACACAATGAGAAGTCAATACAAACATAACCCATTACTAATGTGTATAGTCATGTAAAACAAATTCCTAAATTAGCCATTTCCAAACACATGCTTTAATCTGCACTTTGAGTCCATCACTTCTCTATCTGGTGGTGGATAGCATATTTCATCATGAGTGCTTTGAAACTGTGGTTGGTTATTCTCTTGATTAGAGTTATTGAGTCTTTCTGAGTTGGTTGTCCTTATGATATTATTTTATAAATTGTTTTGGTTCCGCTCACTTTACTCTGCATCAGTTCATATAAATCTTCCCAATTTTTTCTGAAACCGTTCCCTTCATTTCTTTGTTGTTCACTTGTTTCAGTCATATCCAACTCTTCATGATCCCGTTTGAGGTTTTCCCGACAAAGATACTGGAGTGGTTTGCCATTTCCTTCCCCAGGTCATTTTACAGATGAGGAAACTTAGGCAAATAGGGGTAAGTGATTTGCTCAGGGTCACACAACTAGTAAGTGTCTGAGGCTAGATTTGAACTCAGGAAGATTAGTGTTCCTGACTCCAGGACCAACACTATCCATTGTGCCAACTAGCTGCCTCATCATTTCTTAGCACAATAGTATCCCATCATATTCATATATCATACCTTGTTTATCATACCTTGCCATTTCCCAAATGATAGGCATGCCATCAGTTTTTCAATTTGTTGCTACCACAGAAAGAGCTGTTATAAATATTTTTGTACAGATGGGACCTTTTCCTTTTTTTTTTTAATTTCTTTGAGGTATAGATCTAGTAATAGGATCACAGAGTCAAAGGGTATGCTCAGTTTGTTGGTTTTCAGGGCACAGTTCCAGATTACTTTCCAGAATGTTTGGATCAGTTCATCAGTTCACAGATCTACCAACAGTGCGTTAGAAAACCTGTTTTCCTGCAACCTCTCTAGCATTTGTCATTTTCCTTTTTTGTCAGCTTAGCCAATCTGATAGGCATGAGTTATAGTATTTGAGAGTCATTTTAAGAGTCATTTGCATTTTTCTAATTATTAGTTATTTAGATAATTTTTTTAGAGCATTTTTTAATATGGCTCTTGATAGCATGGATTTCTTCCTCTGAAAACTTACCTATTTATATCCTTTGACTATCAATTCGAGAATGATTCTTATTCTTATAAATTTGACTCGATTTCCTATATCTTAGAAATGCAACCTTTATCAGAGAAACTTGGTGTGAAATATTTTATACCTCTCTCCCTCACCCCCTTTCCTGCTTCTCTTCTAATTTTAGCAGCACTGGTTTTGTTTATGTAAAAACTTTTTAATTTTATGTAATTGAAATTGTCTGTTTTAACTTGCTGTAAACCTCTCTATCTCTTGTTCAGTCATGAACTCTTTCTTTATCCATAGATCTAACAGGTTTTGCAAGAGTACAAACTGATTAACAGGTTCCTATCTACATTGGTAGAAGAAATTCCCATATTGAAGTTCCGTATAGGTCCAGTCCTATCTCATTCCAGATACTATAGGTAATTCATCATTGAAAATATCCTTTAAAGTACTGTGCCTCACCATCTCTTTCTCTGTTGTCTTTTGGACTACTTGAAGTTTTGATTCTTTGATTCTGATTCTATTTTGGGCCAATCTCATTGTCCATCTGTGAGCTAATTCCAGATCATGTGACTTTAACTGATGTATGAGATTTGGAGAAGAAATTTTAAGCTATCATTTTGTTCTGCCGTGTCAAACACTTTTTCCCCCTAATCAACAAACAGTAACTGTGATGCAGGAGGATCTTTTATTTTCTGCACTTTTCACTGAGTTGTGTGACTAAATATGTGGTCTACTCTAGAGAATCATCTGTAAAGCCCCCCTGTTCCCTTTTCATATTTTCATTAAGAAAAACATCAACACCTATATAGACCTTTCTTCTAAAGACTAGAGAGTAGTCATAGGGGTTGTAGTTATTTGTTCCCTCTTGATCCTTTTTGAGTAATGATAGTATTCATCTTTAAAATTTGTTGTCCTTTTGTCAGCTTTACCTATGAAAACGATCTCATTCCGTCACTCTATTGTACTCAAAGTCTTTCAAGTATGATAGAACCAGCCATGTTCTGCTGGTACAGCCATGAAGAACTCATGCTTCCTACCATACCACGATCGAAATACTGAAGTAGACTGTGATAGAGGACAGTAACTCTATAAAGAAAGAACTATAATGTATAACATAAGAAGCATCCGTTAAATGTATTTAGCACTTGAAGGTTTGCAAAACATTCATCCCACAAAATGCCCTGTGATGTAAGTAGTACCAAGTGTTATCTCCATTTTCCGGAGGAGGAAATTAAAACCCAGAGAAGTCAAGTGATCATTTCACTTGAACTGCTTTTTTAACCATGTCTCTCCCAAATCTACAGTTGATTTTCTTGAGCGCAAATACAGGACTTTACATTTATCTCTACTAAATTTCATTTTAGGTTCTGTCTACCATTCCAGCCCATTGAGTCACACTTTGTCTTGCGATGTATCCCTCCCAGTTTTGGGTCATAGCTGTGATCAGTATGTCATTTGTGTCTTCATACATGCTGTTGATAAAAATATCAGCCAAACAGGGCTGTGGATGGAGCCTTGCAGCACCCAGCCAGAGATGGAACCACCTCCAATTTGATAGAGATTCATTAGTCTACACTCTTTAGATCCAGTTGGTCAACTCATTCAAAATCCTTCTAGCTGTTTATTCTTTCCTTTGCATCTCTTTTACCTTGTCCACAAGGACCAGGAGAACCTTTGTATATTTGACATGATATTTTGTTATTAAAATCGAGACATACTCTGTCCATGTTGTTGGTCTAGTAACTGTCAAAAACAGAAAGAATGAGGTTGGGGGAGCATGACTAATAAACATTTTTGATATGGTATTATTTCTTCCCTGTTCTGCCTTATTAATATTCTAAGTGTACTTTGATTTTCATCCCTGTTCTGGAATGAGGAAAATCCTTCAAAATTCCATTTTCTTTGTGAAGAAAAATTCCAAAGAAGTCTGGATTTTTTAAAGAATATTTCCTTCTAAAATGCTATTCACATCCAGAGAAAGACTTTTGGAATCTGAATGCAAATGGAAGCATACTATTTGCTTGCTCTTTTTGTTGTTGTTGTTTTGTTTCTTCTTGCTTGTGGTTCCTCCCATTGGTTTTAATTCTTCTTTATAACATGACTAATGTGAAACTATGTTTAATATACATGTGGAGCCTAGATCAGATTGCAATACTGTCTTAGAGAGGGGGAGAAAATTTAAAACTCAAAATCTTGTGGAAGTGAATGTTGAAAACTAAAAATAAGTTAGTCAAAAAAAAACCCAACCAACCAAACAAGAATATTTCCTACTTCAGAATTCTTTGGAATGACACCTAACACCTTTAGGATTGATTATGCGGAGGATTTTCCCAAGGATAATTCAGATTGAGTCAAAGCCTTAATTCTACATTAGAGGAAAATGGAGGTTGTTTCATTTATTTCCTCTAAAAAAGGTGCTGTCTAATGTAATGCTGAATTTGAATGAAAGTGTTTGAAGTAAAATAAGGTTCATGGGCTCACAGGTCCAGAGCTGGAAAGGGATGTCATGAAGCTACCCAGTCCAGTCCGCTTCTTTTTACAGTTCTCTGGCCTGGGGTCTTAGGGTGACTCATTGTGTTGATTTATAAGGCAGAATGAGTGTGAAAGATAAAGAGATGTACAAACTATGGTTTGTATACTCAAAAAAGCTAGTTTTTTTAGTATGCTGACCAATGATTGTTTTTATTGTTTTAAGGGATCATCCCTGCATTATGTGGACTGGAGGCTGCAGGAGAATTCCTGTCTTAGTGTTCCATGCAGAGGCCATTCTGACAAAGGACAATAACATTCGAGTAATTGGAGGTAGGTGTTATTGCTGGCACCTTGTTTATCCTTCTGTGACATTCCTGAGCATTTTTGTAATATCTTGCCTTGCAGAAGCCAAAATTACTTAGAGGTAGGAAAGAAGACTTTCTGTGTGACAGTTATTTTGATTTTCCATGTTTGAAATGATTTTCTTCTCAGACTACTTTTCCCATCTCATCTTCTCTTGTCACTATCTAATGCTGTAAGTATTATGGTTAGATATCTACAGGCTAACCATATTACTGTTTGGTGGTATGAAAGAGGTTTTTTCCCCCTTAAATGGAATTTAAACTTTATTCCTGAAGTGCTTGGAAGCTCTTTAAAGTCTCTAATCTCCTAACAGTAAGATGGGTTCAGGGGAGGGTCACTGTCTACTTGTGGGATTTGAAACCTCTGGATTTATACTTCCTCCTAATCTTTCCAGCTCATTAATGGGGCATTGCTTAAAAAGACTTAGTTCAGTAGTATCAGCTGAAAATAGAGGAACTGAAATTTTGTCACTGTTTGTTGAGAAGCTTTATCTTGATGTGACATTAAATATACTGAAATTAAAAATTAAAAACACATTTTGCACATTGCATAACAATCAATAAATACCTACTAGAGAAAAAAAAACCCATTACATTCCTAACCTGCCTTTGTTTGAATGTTCAAGCGATCACTTGTATTCCGTAACAATAGACAGACCTCTTAAAATTTGGATGCCCACGGGAAACTCTTCATCCTGCCAGATCGCATTAGACTTGGTACTCATACCTCTTCAATACACTCTGCTCATGTTTGGAGCGAACTCCTCTCAAAACTTCCATTTAAGGAGGATATCAGTCCAGCCATTTCTTCATTTCCACTCAGCTATGGCTTTGTACTTCTTCAGCATGCCTCCGTGCCCGATACCTCCTTCCTCTTTTCATTTTCCTGTCATGTGTTGTCTTCTCTTATTAGATTGTAAACTTCTTGAGGGCAAAGATTGTCTTTCTTTTTTTTTTATTTATATCTCCAGGGCTTAGCATAATGCCTGGCAATGTGGTAGGTGCATAGGATATGTTTATTGTCTGCCTGCCTGACTAACATGTCTACTCTTCACCTGCAAAATGAGAGGATTGGACTTCTAGCTCTGGATACTATGATTCTGTGATGGGGCTGACATTTCTAGACAGTAATTCTGTCTTGAAAAATCTAGGGGTATTAGTGAAATGAGTTACCACTGATATGGAAGCCATGAAAGCTAATGCATTTTTAGGTTGTAATAAGAGAGTCATAGGGTCTTGCACTAGCTAGGTAAGTAGTCCAGCTAAACCCAATCCTGCTCAGACCACATCTGAGTTAGTATATTCAGTTCTGAGTACCATGTTTTGGGAACAGTGTTGATTAGTGCTTGCATATGGGATGTTAGTTCCAGTATGGGTTGTGCTATGTGTTTGAGGTCCCTTCCAATTCTCATATTTTTGTATTTCTGTGAAAAGTTGTACTTTATAGTTACTGGGAAAAAATTATATTCAACAAATATGTTGTGTCTCTATCCAGTGGAGTCTCTTCTCATTTTTGGGGGGGGAGGTTTAAGGCAATTGGGATTAAGTGATTTGCCCAGAGTCACACAGCTAGTGAATGTTATGTGTATGAGGCTGGATTTGAATTCTATTCCTTTGACTTAAAAAAGAATACACTAAACTACTTTTCAAAATTTCTATACTTGGGAGTCTTATGTTTCTGGCAGTCCTTTTCATTATACTGACAAATTCAAGTAGCTTATTGTTTAATTATTTCCTTCCTTGGTGAAAAGAACAATTTCGTTGACTTTTTACTCCAGTTACTTCCTAGTTTTCTGAGTTCTTCTCTGTGTAATCTTGTGATTTCTGTAGTGCTGTGTTTGACTCAGACATCATATCTGAGAACTAGCAGGCCAGTTCATCATTTTGTTATTAATCCCCTGAGAAATAGGTCTAGATTTTTTTGTTCCTTTTCTTTTTACTCTTTTGTATGTCCCATATTAGATATCAACATTGTTTTTTATCTTTCTGTTTTTGTATCAGTGCTTTAAAAATGCAATGTTGCATTAAGCTTCACTACTCTCAAATGTTTTTATAGGGTATTATTTCTTTCCTATTCTACTTCATCAATACTTTATATCTCTTCCTTTTTACAATAGTATGTTCTTGAAAAATTGCGTATGTAGTGAATTTATATAAATTGGCTCATATTTTAGGCAACCAACGCTTGTTGACTTTATTGTGAAATGCACTAGGGAAATCCTCTGTTTGAATCAGTGGTCAAGAAATCTTTTTTTTTTAAAGCAGAGATTCTTGTTATAATGTGGCAGTCAACAAATAGCTTACTTGTTTTGTATCTCAGGATTTTTTTGATGAAATAAATCTCTTAAAGTAGGGCATATGTGTTCTATCCTATGGATGTATGTGAGTATGGTATGCTAGTATGTCACATTTCAAAATTTTAGTCTTTTCATATGATTTTTTTATTCTTTTTTTTCCATACTGTGTGTATGTGAAGACTTAAAACCATTTAAAAGCCCACTGCTTCCTGCTCATATACTTGTTCATATGCTTTTATATGGACAGATTACTCATTCGTTGTTATAGTTTTTATTCTGGCAATTTTAAGAGCTTTTGGTAAGAGGCTCTGACTGTGCATGCATTCGTTTCTGGGTCTTGTCAGTTTGAGGGTGGAAAGGAGGTGACAATTTTATTGTATCGCTAAGACTGGCCTTGGAAGGATGCAAGCTGAGAAATCACATACTTAATGGTTTGGTAGTGGCAAGGTGGGGTAATAGCCTGCCTCTTATATCTTAATAGATGAGAATGTAAGGCTGGGATTGTGGTTCTCAACCAGTGGTATAAAGCACTTCTACACTTTTGAAAAGAGATGTTAATATTATCGTTTGGGTGGCATTTTCCATTGCCATAAGATCCTAGGATTTAAAGATGTAAAGGGACCTTAGGGACTATCTAGTCTAACCCCTTCATTTTGTAGTAGAGTAAATGGAGGCCTAAAGAAATTAAGCAGTCTGCCCAAAGTAGAAAAAAAATGGAATGTGGGCTCCTTTGAGGCAGGCTTTGTCTCTGTGTCCGTGGTCCTTAGCATATACCCTTGCTGTGACATATTTGTATTTAATAAAATATCTGTTGAGTTGAATGTGAACAAAACAAGTAGTAACACTGGGTCCTCTGACTCCAAATCTGGTACTCTTTCCACCACCCTCACAAGCTTGTGTGAAAGTCGTTAATGAAGAACATCCTGGTCTGTGCTGCCACGTCCATCTCACCTCCACCTTTAGAGATGCATCCTTCTGGTTGGTCTAGGATTGTATCCAGGAGGAGGAAGAAGAGCCTTTGTGCTCCCTGGAGAGGAGGCAGCTCCGTCAGTCAGCGTCCTGAGGGAGACTTTGTTCCCCCAAAGCTAAGGATGAATGTAGTCATTGATTCTATTGTGTCATGAGAACTCACATTACAGTCTACAAAGACTGACTGCTTCCACCCACTTTCTTGTAGCTTTACTCCAAAGGTAGTGTAGTACTAAAAGTTATCATTGGAGACGCACAGTATTTTCAGACTTTAAAGTTTTATTTCATGCATTTAGAGCAAAGAAACTGCTTCTCTTTTCATTCCATATTTCCTGTGTCCAGCACTTGGCCAGCCCAACTTCTGGTTTAACTTGAAGTGCTTGGTCAGCAGCAGCAGAAGGAATGTAAGTCCACATGTCTATATTATAATTCCCTATTGGGTAACAGAAGTGAAGCATTTTGTTAGCTGTCTCTGTGTCTCTTCACTTCTGTATCACTTGGTTAAGTTGCAGCTTGGCGATGATGGTTTGATCCTTTTTAGTATTTTTTCTTGTGTCCTAAGCATTGAGTTTTCTTTTCTACTTGAAAAAAAAAATCTAAGCTAACATAAGAACAACTGAATGTGAAGATCTGGCACAAAGGATATTACTATAAAATAATGAGACTTTTTCTCTTGTACTTTATGTGATCTCTCTCCTTAGCCACATCTTGTGTGTGCGTGTGTGTGTGTGTGTGTGTATAAATTTACTGTGGCACTTCTAGCAGTTCTTCAAGAGATCTGTGATTTTTATCAGTATGAGTACTAATTCTGCCAATGCAAATTACAACCTTTTGCCATAATAGATGAACTTCATAATTTCTGAGGCCAAAAGCTTGTCTCTGGCCATCCTTCTAGTGAGGATACTCTCTGAGGTTAGGCTGGCACACAGGTGGCAGACACACAGTTTGACACGAGGCTTAATAGGACCAGATATAACTTGTGCTCTTCTTGCATAGTCTTAGAAGATCCAGGGCTACCTTGATGTTTCATGGAGCGTCTTGAATAGGACTTTAGAGTCCTATAAATAAAAGTTACAGTAGCTAATTTAACATACATATAATGATATAAAGAATCATTATTACATCATAATTTAGCACAATTAATAATCAGCTTATATAACTGGAATTAATAATACTTTTACACAATCCAATACCATTGTAAGTTTTTTCTTCTCATTTTGTTAATTTTCCGGTAACTATAATTGATGTTATTTGTTACAATTTTCTCATCACAACTTTCTCTCCTTCCTGATTCTTAAAACTCTCATCCTCCACGGTTGAGATATTTCCTTCATTCTGCTTCATTCATCAGCCAATCCATGTCATACTACTTCCCATTCTTTGGTGCTTAGGCTTTAGGAAGCAGAAATAATTGACCATCAGGCTATTGATTACTAACCTTGTTGCGGTGGGTGTTGTGGGTGGGCCAGCTGCATGATCTCTGCATTCTAACAAAAAAGAAAAAGAAAAAAAATCAGTTCAGCAAAACTAAACAACCCATCAACTGAGTCTGACATTTTATTATACAGTATTCTATGCCCATTGTCCCCACTTCTCTCAATGAAGGGAGAGTGATACATTTTCTCTTTTGTCATGTAGTATATTCTCAATAAGTCTGTGTTGGTAGACACAGGGACAGACTTGGTCATTAGAGTTACACAAT